CCCCTCCCTTTGATGGTCACATGCTTCGGTGTCTCCCCCCGCCCCCCCCCCCCCCCACTCAGTGTTATTTAGGGTACGCATATGCTCGTACCCTATTTTTGAAAGCACCCCCTATCTGAGGATGCCAACATTTCCGAACCCCCCTTTCGCGGGCTTTTCCTGTCTTGGAGACCCCCCTAACTCAGCAAAAATGCTCATTTTACCCCCCTAAATTCGGAATAATTTCTCAGGTGTCCAAAGAGATGAGAGAAAAAAAGAAAAACACCCCCTTTTTAAAGAAATCTCCGGGTGAAAAGTCAAATACACCCCTTTTTTTTACAATTCTCGGGCCGGATTTTGTCGCACGAAAAGTACCCCTTTACCGGACATTTTGGCAACACGCATGCGGTCATTCCGACTTCTGAGTGGGGGGGGGGGGGGGGGGGCCGGGTGTCTCCCGTAGCTACGCCACACTAACATCCACATGTCCAAACAATAACAAAACGAAATTCACATATGAGTGGGATGTAGGGTCGGTTAAAAGGACTAGTTGTTTGTCCTTTTTTTTATTCATAGATCCTTGAAGTAGAATAGACACTGAATAAACACGGCTGTAAGTTGAAGACAAAAGGGATGGAAATATGTAAACAGCATGAAAGCTCAAATTCTACGAATTATTACTGGTAAGATATATTAACCCTTTGATCCATACACAGCCTAAAGACCTCTACATGTATACGAGGATAGGAAATAATATACTACATTCCCCAATGACACGTACGAAATGTGTTTGTCTAACATTATGCCTCAAGAAAAATGCACTTAGGAAATGCGAAATGTGAGCGCCCCCAGGCTGCCGCTAAGGGTACAGATTTCAAATGTTGGCAGGTATGCAGAGGCCTGTAAATGTTTACGATGATAGGAAATAATATACTCTATTTTCTTATGACACGTACGAAATGTGTTTGTCTATAATAATGCCTCAAGAAAATGCATTTAGAAGATGAGAAATGTGAGGAAATGCAACGTTTTTTGTCAACGGTTTGAAAACAATGTTTTATTTTGCTTCCTGTTTTTGCATGATATGGGAATAGACTTCGAGCACTTTATTGTGTATTTGATTCACTGCATTTTTGCTCAGTAACTTTGGGACTTGAAACGTATCAATCACTCTATGAATTTTGTTAGTTTGTATTTGTAATTGAATCAAAACATTTCCGATAAAGACTGATATTATTGAAAGTTATCTTTATATTTCAACTCTAAGACTAAAAGAATGTAATGCCAAAGGCCTTTAAACAAACATCTAGTTTCTTATAGTATTATTAACGCCATTATCCCGTTCTAAATTCGATAGATAATTGTATTCAGATCGTTTTGCATTCAATTAAATTAAATTCAAGTCTGCTTTCTGTTTTTTTCCCTAAAATAAATTTTGCCGGAAAGTGTGCTTGCTAGGATGTGCACGGCCACGTGACCAACACTTTTTTTCTTAATATTGTCTAGGTTTTATTCGAGAAGTGTCTATACAGTGCGTCCCAGAAAAAAAACGAAACCGAGATTCATCGATGTTTTATCATAACTTAATCACAATTATAATTAATAAATGACACATATTTGTAAAGCTTAGACCCCCCTTTTTCATTTGATACAACTCATATGATACATATTTCTCGCATGAGTGATTAAAAACAATTTGAAGAGAGGAAACCAAAAAGTCATTTGGCGGGCTTTCAAGGAGTAAATCACATTTCTAGAAAGGTCAATTTTTGCCCTTTCATATAACACCTCAATCAGGAAAAATGAGCCAGGAATAACAAAGTTCTGTTTGTTTAAAGTTATGCTTGCATTTCCATAATTTGATTCAAACGAGTTTGTTTTCACTAGCTGCCTGCCGTAGCAACGAATGGAATTGACAAAAGACTTAACTCCGTTTCGTTGATGCTAAAAAAAAAACGAAAGTCTTCATGCATGGCTGATTGTCTACGAAACGGAGTTAAGTCTTTTGTCAATTCTGCTTATTGCTACGGCAGGCAGCCATCGAAAGCGAACTTTTTGTTTTATTTTCTTTTATTTTGTATCATTTTGTTCATAACAGAGCTCCCTCCTGAAGTAGGCCCTCTGTGACTCTTTATGTATCTACCCTGCTTTTTAAAAAGAAAAATATTATAAATATATAAAACCAAGCAAGACCGTTTAAGAGTAGGAATACAAAATATAAGAAGAAAGTGTGAGGGGGGGGGGGGCAGGGTATGGAAGACGATATTTTTAGCCCACTTCTTTTTGTCTTCCAGCCACTCATGCATTTTGATGTAATGTGATACTGTTTCACAAACAACCACAGGAGTTTTAAAATGGTGCTAATCAGTGTCTTTTCTACTTCAGCTACTTTTTTCAAAACGGAAATGATTAATCACAAAATGCAGTGATCTACATATTTCCATGCTTTATCTTCTCTTAGTATATTGTTTTCCAAAGATCGGCTTTCATTGATGTGGAAATATCTGGAACTGATTCTCTTGATGTGAAACACTTGAAGACCTTAGGGTATACAGGATGAAGAATGCATATCACTATACCTCTCAGTTACCTAAATTATTCTGTGAAGAATTACCCGTCTTCATTTGCCCATTAGGTTATTAATTCTGATCCGGGAGACCCACGCGCCACGCATAGTACATTGACTGGCCCCGAGAGCTGAAGTGCCTTGTGTCTGTATAATAATAAGAGATGTCAAATCGGGGCAGACATTTCTTCTTCTTCTTTTTCTTCTGCTTCTGCTTCTTCTATTTCTCTAATACCCCATTCACAGTGGTTTTGAAATTTGTAGCGGCGTTGTAGCGGAGCGGCGACACCGCCATAACACCGCTACAAATGCATTCACAGTAGAAAAGTTATCCCGCTGCAGCAGCGGGATAAATATCATGTACCCATTCACGCTGCAGCGGGTAATTTTTATTACCTCCGTAACAAACACGTGTATGCATGGCTCATGACCCGCGAGTGACCCCGATATGACCGGAAATACTTCAGCGCGGGGTTTTCGATTGCTTGAAATTGCGCGCGCTAGCTGTACTTTACACACTCTATTCCTCATGTAGCTAGCTCGATCATATTACTTTTTAAAAAACTAGCATTTTTATTGCTTCCAGTCAGAATATTTTAATTTTTTGAAGTGTGAAATATTTTTATTTGGATAATTATAATATCTACATAATAATAAAATCAATTTGAATCCACTGGTTACTTTATTTCTATTTCACTTTATGTTCCCCATTGCTGGAGAAAAGAGGTCAGTGATAGGTAAGTAAACAAATCACACGTGTTTGTCGCGGTGTTATAGCGGAGAGCCTTCACACTGAGTAAACACCGCGACAGCAGCGGGACTGTCCCGCTGCTGTAGCTAGGCGAGCCTAGCGATAGTTTGTCGCGGCGTTATCGCGAGGCGGTGTTATCCCGCGATAGTTTATAACGGGTCCGAGCCTTCACACTGAAGACAACACCGCGACAGCAGCGGGACAGTCCCGCTGCTGTCGCGGTGTTTGAGGCCACTGTGAATGGATACCCCATTCACAGTGGCCTCAAACACCGCGACAGCAGCGGGACTGTCCCGCTGCTGTCGCGGTGTTGTCTTCAGTGTGAAGGCTCGGACCCGTTATAAACTATCGCGGGATAACACCGCCTCGCGATAACGCCGCGACAAACTATCGCTAGGTTCGCCTAGCTACAGCAGCGGGACAGTCCCGCTGCTGTCGCGGTGTTTACTCAGTGTGAAGGCTCTCCGCTATAACACCGCGACAAACACGTGTGATTTGTTTACTTACCTATCACTGACCTCTTTTCTCCAGCAATGGGGAACATAAAGTGAAATAGAAATAAAGTAACCAGTGGATTCAAATTGATTTTATTATTATGTAGATATTATAATTATCCAAATAAAAATATTTCACACTTCAAAAAATTAAAATATTCTGACTGGAAGCAATAAAAATGCTAGTTTTTTAAAAAGTAATATGATCGATAAAAGTATAGATAGATCCATAGCTAAATCGAGCTAGCTACATGAGGAAGAGTGTGTAAAGTACAGCTAGCGCGCGCAATTTCAAGCAATCGAAAACCCCGCGCTGAAGTATTTCCGGTCATATCGGGGTCACTCGCGGGTCATGAGCCATGCATACACGTGTTTGTTACGGAGGTAATAAAAATCACCCGCTGCAGCGTGAATGGGTACATGATATTTATCCCGCTGCTGCAGCGGGATAACTTTTCTACTGTGAATGCATTTGTAGCGGTGTTATGGCGGTGTCGCCGCTCCGCTACAACGCCGCTACAAATTTCAAAACCACTGTGAATGGGGTATTAGTTGTTTTTAAAAGCATCTGCATGTTTGAGAGGTGCCTGATTACAAGTGCCGTGTCTGATCCCTGACGTAGGTTGCAGAATAGATCGTTCGGTGGTAAACAAGAGAAGCTACTATAAAGAAAGGGGAAGGTTGATGCCACACATTATCGATGGCAAGAGTTGGAGGGAAGTCCCCCCCCCCCCCCACCATCACTTCCCGTAATGGAAACTTCAAGATTTTGTGGATATATTAATATTCTATCGGCAAATCTGTCGGTCCATTCGCAAGGGCTGCCTGTCGAATGTGAATAATATCTGGCTTGGATGCTAGTGATGTCAAACGAATGTTGTAATTGTTTACAAATGGATGCCATGCAACGGAAAGCTCGGTAGACTACTTACACTGTGTAATGGCAGAACATACCATGGCTATCTATTCTGACATTACATATGTTGCTATACTCCCTGTTAATAGATTTAATTGAAAAAAAGATAAATAATTTCAAACCGATTTAAGTCAGAACAGACCAATCCAAAACGAAAAGAACATAAGTTGACATTTCTTACAATGTCAACCAATACTATTTCCCAGTCAGACTGTCAAGATAATTGAGAATTGTGTAAAGTAATGCAAATCTTTTTATGTCTATATTTTTTTTACTCTAACTTTCTTTTTAAAGCACCAAGGCTGTAACGAAGAAAGTCGGATTCTCTTGGGGATCCCGCCAGATCGCATCGGACACGGGACATGCCTTCACCCCGAGGCTGGAGGGGATCAAGACCTGGTAGATACCGTTGTACGCTCCAATATACCCATAGGTAGGGGAAGCGATATTCAGGATTGTTTTGTGGCCCCGCTGGGCGACGATTCTATTGTTTTCATTTGTTATGATTCCATGAATCATTTATTCAATGTCTAATGTTTCTGGAATGAAGATAACGCCGTGTTAATAATGGTGGTTATCTATTGCAAGGGTGAATCATAAGGCCTGTCATCATCAGCTCGAGTTTGGTAATAGCCCGCTATTTGGGGAAATTAGCCCAAAGTTACAAATCGCGTTTTCATCATCTCGGAACTCGAGCTCGAGAAATTAGCTCGAAATATTTTGCTCAATGTTCGTGCATAGTGTGAGTCTTCGGGCTGGTTTCCTTCTTCACCTGCCAAATAGCCGGCAATTTCGTGATCGGGCTATAGTAGGCTATTTGGCAAACTATTCGAGCTGATAAGGACAGGCCCTACTGATTGTCAAAGAGTGTGTGTGTGTGTGTGTGTGTGGGCGGGGGAGGGGGGGGGGGGGTGTTTGAAAACTTCTAAAGTACAAATTAGTATACCATAGAGTGCCTTTGTTACATTTTCGTTTTGAGGTGGGGGCAACTAATTTTGTTCCCTTAAATGGATCCGCCAATTCTTTCTTTCCACGATACATTAACACCGAGCAAATGTTATGTTTATTTGATTATTGGCTTCCTCTCTTCCTTGTTTTCAACGGTATATTGAAAATAAATTCAATATTGATGTGCAAAAAATTAATGCTAATCCTGATATGCAGGCCTGCTGATATGAACTTTTCTGAACGAGTTATTTGTATCTTTATGTACTTGTGTAGCAAGACATCAAAGTGGTTTGTTTCTTTGTTATTGCAGAAATGTGCTTAACGTCGAATCTTATTGGAGGAGCTGTGGAGAGCCCTGCTTCTCATCATTTGAAGTACTGGATGAACAAGAATCATCCTTGTGTTATATGTGTAAGCAATGTTGTCATCAAACTTTTTTTTTCAAACCTTTGTTTTGTAATAATCTTTGTAAAAGGAATTTTTTTTAAATGACAGAAACGTGCTTTCACTGCAGTGATTCTCTCAAAATCGGCTACATTAACACCAGTGGTGACTGGCGTATTCAAGTTTTTAACCCTAAAAAACACAATTTTTTAAATGTATTTTACCCAAATGAAAATTTGCAAGAGAACACTGAAATTATATATGGTTGGGCATATTTAAATAGGGGAGGGGGGTGAGGCCTCCTGTTTACATGATTTCACAATCAAGCAAAGCGAGCAAGCACAACAAAAATCATTATGGCAAATACATTACTTCAACATCAGCATAACTGAATTGGCTTCCTAGCTGCCCAAATATTGGAACATTAAAAAGATTCAGGTGTAAATGAACCGTTAAGTTTCAAATTTTTGATATCAAAGTGCAGTAGTTTTCTATTAATATATTCCTCATACCGTAATTCATTCATTCATTTCATATCTTTCTTGCTTTCCTCCACTCTCCCCCCCCCCCCATTTTATTGTGGCCGTTCAAATGCTGCCTGGGGTACTTGCCGCCTCTACCACCCCATACATGTAGATACACTATTGACTAAGCTACTCACTTTAGTGGGCTTTAAGTTCATTAATATTCCTTTTTGATCAAATGTTAACCAATACAATATACATTTTTAGAAAATTCACAATGCAATCCAACCCTTGCAATAACTTTATTGGTTTGAAACCTGAAAAATATGAGAAACGGAAAGCTAGATAACTTTAGATAACTAAAATCATGCGAATCTTAAATTGGCATTTTGGTCTGTGATGTACTCATGGGACAACCCTCCCTTTGTTGTGTTCAAAAATATAATTATTTTCTCTTTTTTCCTAATATAAGTGCTTTCTCCCTCGTGGCGCCACTCGAAATATAGTATGGCTAGCATATTATTATGGGCCCTCTAAAGAGAACAAAACTCCTCAGCTATACATTTTTGAAAAAGTTAAATTGAGTCATTTTGAGGGTTGAATCAAATGGGGAAAGTAGTCCGGCACTTCGTCAAAGTGACTTTACCGATTCAGCCAATTTGAAGTGCCCATACTGATAGTAAAAACAAATTTAAAAATTCATAACTTTCTTTCATTTTGTCCGATTCAATTCAAACTTTCACTAATCTTAATTCTTCTATGATTTTTCTGCTTTCTTTTAGAGTAGTTGTCTGTTAAACAGTTTCCCTTGAAGGAAATGGTTAAAAAAAAAAAACACATGTGAAAGCTTACCCTGTCGGTGACCTGACAAATAAGGCAGGCATACATGCATGTTGGCTCAACTACAGCATATGCATAATTCAACAAGGCTCACGTTACAAGATTGGAAGACTTTAAAGATTATTAAACAGGAGCATCCGAGCAGACCAACGGTCTACAAGATTGACTATGGTGGTTTAGTATAAATCATAGAAAAATTGTGAAGATAGCGACTGAGTCTTGGGGGGGGGGGGGGGCTATATGCTCTTGGCAGAGGCGGTGCTCCTGATCGGCTGGGGGCTCAGTGCCCCCTTTGCTCCACTTTTTCAAGTAACACAAAAGCAGCCCCCTTTTACTTCGACAAGTGCCCCTTTCATTTTGTAATAAATGTCCCTTTTCCCTTCTTAATTTGTCTCCCTTTGTACCTGTGATAAGTGCTCCTTTTCCTTGCTAATAAGAGCTTTTTCCCCCTTCTGATAAGCGCCCCTTCCCCTCTTTTTATTCATATATATCCCCTTTTCTACACTAAGAAGTGCCTCTATGCTAATCTGATAGGTGCCTCTTTCCAAATCTGATAGGTGCCTCTTTTACTTTAATGAGTCCCCCTTAAAAAAATGGTCCTTTTCACCTCTGAGTGTCTTTTCCCTGTCTTTTAAGTGCCCCTTCCCTTTCTTATAGATGCAAGATTATTCATGCTTCTTTTCACCTATGATAGGTGCCCATTGTTACTTGTGATGTAATTTCCATTTGATAAGTGCTCATTTTTATTTATATTTTCCACTATCACTTACAAATTTTGCCCTTTTGTGGTCATCTAGTGCCATATCTAGTGCCATATCCAGTTTCAAAGAATCGGAGCTGCAGGAACAGTAAAAAAAATTCTACCGCTACGATGTATTCAGAAGAAAATTGAAATGTCATTATTTGAATAAATGTTGTCATTCCTGATTCCCGACTATTTTTGTCTCCAAGCAGTATACTTCTGTCGATTCCAATGAGTATATAACGGTATGGCCATGCCAACTAGGTACATACTCTACTCATCTTGAGAACAAACTAATTGTACTATTTTTTCAATAAGCTGCAGATATATTCCCTTCCCTTTCCGGGCTTTCCCTTGTCTTTTGTAGTTAGTTGTTAGTATCGGTTCATGTATCCATGTAACTTCACTTTCCCTGTTTTAGCGGGTATTTGTATTTTATAAACCTAACTTTAGTTAATTATGTCATTTGTAGTTTAAGAAGCCTATCCACAACGAGCTCTACTTTTCCATAGGCTCCTCCACTATATCTCTTAAGTTCAACTGAAGGACAACTTTCTGAATAGTGTGTTCCGGTATTGTATGTACATGTACTAAATTATAATCATTTTCAATATGTTGGTAGTTTTTGTTACTCTTTGTAAAGTGAGATATATTAGAAACCAATATACTATCTATATATCTATCTATCTATCTATCTAAAAGCAGTACAGCTGGAACGGGGCAGCAGGCACAATGCCCCAAATTTTGTTAAAACAACTGTTCCCCTTTTATAAATATAATCATGCTCATTTTTAAAGCTATCAAACGTCCCTTCTCTCGCCAAGGTAATAAATTGCCATTTGTTTAAGAATTTAAAGGTTTAAAGCAACTATAATACCAAATATAATTCATGTTAAAAGACATACATGCATAACTACTCTACGTGATAAATGCCGGGCCATGTGTTATAAAGCCTTTTGATCGTAAGGTTAATATTGAGCGTAAGCCTATGACTCACTGTTTATTGATCAAACTTAAGATCAATCATAACTCGTTAAAATACGCGGCCCAGATATTATTATCACCCTTATCTCACCAGGAACGATTGATTTCTCAAAGCCCCTTACATGTGCCCCTTACATGTGCCCCAATTTTTTTTGCGACTGAAGCAATTTTCTTCAAATTTCCTCAAAAACTCGATCGCTACGCTCGCTCAAATTTATACCTTTAGTCATTAAGTATCATAATTGAAAGTCTTATTCATTCTTTCATTATAAGATGTTGCTTAAAACTCAAGCGCGATTGGTTATTTCATCTAATAATGAGAATCAATCAGTCGCAATGTGACCTATAAAATCTCAACGTTTTTGCACGCTCGCTTTGCTTGCTCCCAGATGATTTTTCAGACCATCTCACACAGCAGCAAAGTATGGTGCTGAATGAGTATCTTAGACCACGAAATTACAGGTACAGAAAATTTTGAAGATAATCCCTGATAATGTATTCATTACAACTTAGTTTTTACATGTATATGAAACGAAGCGTAAGAAAGGGGAGCCTTTTGAATTGGAAATCATTCCTAAAAACACTGGCACAATTTTTTAGTAGGTGGCAGACCTTTGCGGTTGCAATGTTTCAAGAAAGTTTAGATCAATAATTGCTGTTACAACCATGTTAATGGAGTTGAAAACAAACAGACTGGACAAGATACTCATCGATTTTAGATCTTTCTTCCCCTTCTTCTGAATGTTCTGTCCATACGGTCAAGTAGGTCGGGTAAGAGAAAACTGATGTGGACAAGGGCGATCGTATCAATTTCGAAATGTCCAGAGTTAAAATAGGGGGAAACCACTGGCCTGTATGCTGATAGCTAGGTCGGTTCATACGTGACGATATCAAATATTATTAATGGCTTTCGGCTATTTCAATGTGAAAATGTTTGAGACAAAGTGGACTTCAACATGAAATTGTCATACATGTATATAGTGTTCTGTCCACAAAGTTACAGCCCACAATAACAATTACGAGATCACACGGGCCTGCGGTATAATTAATTTTAGCTATCTAAGAGTTCACTAAATCGACGGATCAAGAGACCGACAGCCCATGAGACTGATCTGTCGGTCTCGCTGGTATTTTGGCAACATTTGTTAGGGTTTCACGTGAGACGAACACAGCTAATGTTCTTGGGCCGTCGTTCTTGTGGGCCGTCGGTATCGTTTCCCGTCAGTCGACTGGGATATCCTGTTCTGTATTCCTGAAATCAAAGTTTATGGAATACCAACGATTAAATTGGCAATCGTTTTCATACCATAATAGATAAGAACCTCTCGTTATTAATAATCTTGTGATATTCATCCAGTTCCCCAACATCTCTAACTATTATCAGCCTCAACAAAGAAGACCTTCGGGTTACAGTTATTTAGTTAATCTTTTCTTTTCCCGGCATCCATGTGACTTTTTTCCAAATGTACTCTTGTTTCGTTTTCAATGATTTTCTTTGTTTTTGCCGAATGTATAATAATAATAATAATAATAATAACTTCTGTTTCTTTCAGACGGATGATAAAGGTGTGTTCTCGACCAATCTCTCCGAAGAGTACTTGCTGGCTGCCGACACCTTCAACCTCTCCCGCCATGATGTCTGGGACATGTCTGAAGGGGCAGTCGACTGTATTTTTGGTGGAGAGACTATTAAAGGACTATTGCGGACCATATGGGCCAAAGAGAAAATCAAACTTGGATTGGGAGAGGCGGGAGTGCTTAACGGAGAAAGCCTTTAAATTGTATTTTGTGTGTAAACAGAGTAACCAAGAGAATGTAATTGGAAATGGTAGATGAAAGAAATTCTGCTTGTTAGAAATTGAGTAAATGATTTAGGTTTCCTTCAAAAATGAGGAGAGTTGTTTGATGTCACAGGAACACTAAGGTGACGTCACGCTATATCAGTATCAGTATTATTATATGAGTAGTCTACATCAGCCCGCTCAAGACAAACGGGGTTAAGCGGATTTATACACACCCGCAGTTAACCAGCGAAATCAAAGGCGTAGATTCCAAGCTAGGAAAAAATGACTTGACCAAACCGATGTGTACCCCATTGAACAACCAGACCAGGATATATGCAGATCGGTTTGCAACATCGAATATTATTTTATTTGTTAAAAGGACGATGGAGGTGGACCATTTATCATAATGAAAACAACTGTAAGGTTAATATAGCCCTGGAGGAAAAATTGAACGTCTCTCTCTCTCCCCTTATTTTGTCGGGAGCGGAGGAGGAAATAAATGGAAGGGAAAAATAGGTCGCCTTGATTAAAAATCAAAGCCTGATGAAGATGTATATCTGGGATTATATTCCGGGCTTAGGGGATATTAAATGATTTATATGGATGGATATGGAGAGTGATTGAACCCGACTGAAAAGTGTTAACTGGGGGAATTGTACAGGCCAATTATTGGTCCAATCGCGGCAAGTCACGGGGAGTTCATTCATGATTAATGATGTAGAACATTTTTGTACAGTATTTATAGATCGTGGCAGTATTAGCTAAATCTTTTGTATATACCTCTCTTCCTGTCGTCTATTGCCAAATTGCAATATTATGTTCATCATTAGCGATACTTTAATTATTCGTTTATAAGTTTTGTTCCGTCTCAGTATTTGATTTTGCTATGAGTCACCCAAAGATTTATATGTACTTAAATATTCGTGTGCTACACTGTAAATACTTGCTTGTAGGATTTCGAAGGGAATCATAAGTTGGTCTAGTAAACATTTTTTTAGAAATGTTCCTTGAAAAAAAGTTTATTGAACAATAATTTGGCTCATGTTTCAGTATTACCTGGGGTAAAGCCCCAAATTGGGTTTTTTGAGACATTGGATGTTGTTAAAGGTTGCTCAGTATCAAAGTGTTCAGGGCAAATTTCCTGCAAAAATTTTAGGCGGACTAACTTGACATTATGCTGCTTGAATAAAATGACCGCCTTTCAAAATGGCCGCCTTTCAAAATGGCCGCCAGGTATAACTTTTATTAAATGATTTTGGAGATAAGTTTTTAAGGGAATATCATTTTACCATGTATGAGGTGTCATATAAAAGGGAATTACATTACCTACAAGATGACATGACATTCAATAGTTTTGAGGATAATTTGCAAAAAATGTGAACTTTTACAATATGTATTCAAAAATATGAATTGCCCCCAAAACATATTTCTCCATATTTAATGAATTAAGATGACTACTGAATTGAGAATTTTTGGGAAACTGTCCATAAGTATGGTTAATAATATATTCAAATTTACAAGTTCATTGCTTTTCTAACAAAAAAAGTTATAGCACTCTAAAGTTGACACTTTGATATGAGCTGAAGTGGCAATTTTAGTTGCTAAGGAAGTTCTTCTCCCTAGCAACGCTCATATAGTGAAATGAAAAATAGAATATATCGTGGGTAGATGTTATCATCAAGCAGATCACTTTTTGGATAGGTAGTATGTCAGATGAAGTAGTTCCATCATATTTTAATGATATATCACTCTCAGTTCCCATTCCTATGGTAATAATATGCCTGGCAACCAATGGGTTCTCAGGAACCCAATTAGGCTACAATAAGACCTGATTCTGTAACTGTATCTTTATCTGTCCTTGACGTACAATCACCAGCATCTGGTTGTCGTATACGTGGTGTTAAGGGTCAAACGCCAAACACGCCAACATTCTAAAGTGTGCTTCGGCTACAAGGTTACTATCTAACGAGTCCAATTTGGCTTTGAATGTTTTCACATCGGGTGAGTTTCTAAATTATTCAATTCGGGAATGCCGTTATCAGTCCTTGTTGGGTCTAATGACATGGTATATGGGTAATTCCATAAATTTCGAATTTTAAAATTTTTTAGTGCTAATATGGTAGTAATATTTAGATATCTGTATATGTACCAAGTAATCTGCCATAATGTGCAACGACGGCGACCCGACACATGCTCCGGCGGCGGTTTCTCCAGGCTTTATTTCATCAGGAATGTCGGGTTGGGGTTATATTTGTTGTTGGGTTTTGGGCTGGGTTGGTGCTTGGTGTTGGGTTTGGTGCGATGTAGGTTTCTTGTCCGGGGTTTGGAGTGGGAGTTTGATTAATGTACTGAATTGCCGCGGAGTAATTGTAGCCGGAGCAGGTGTCGTAGAAGCACAATTATATATTATATGTACACAAATAATTTCAATTCTACTACCATAATGTTATCATGCATATGTTTTACGTGTATTTTTACTTTGTCGCTGATGTATACTTTGTAAACAAAAAATGCAATTCGGCTCTCGGGCCGCGAATGTTTTTTAATGACTTAAAACATTTAATAATTAAATAAATAAATAAATAAATAAATCACATCATGCCAACAATATCTTTATTTATATATCTCTTGTATATTTTCGTAAGGAATATTGGACCTTAAAGTGCAGGAATCCACCTTATTTTGCAGAAAACCTACATGTACACTTATTCTTTGGGATGAGGTTTCCTTTAAGCAGTATCGCTGCGTACATACATTGTAGGTCTATGCATTGAGGAGGCACCAGCAACATGAGGGGCCATCGATCTGTTGATAAAATGGAATAAGGATGGTCACCAAACAATGGACGATATACGAAGAAATCTAATTGTTAATTTTTTATTCATGTTTCTCTTTTTCCTTTTTTCTATCCTTTCTATTCACAGGTTTTTTGTTTTCCCCTCGATATATTGGGAGGGGGGGGGGCATGTATATCCTTAAGCTAGACCACTTGAACTGGATCATTAAATTCAAGCACTCGTCTGCAGTAATCTGTTCATTAATTTTTAAGATCTTAAGATTCCAATTATCGCGTTTATATATCATTTTACTTTTCTGTACTTAGTGGAATTTAATATTATTCATGTATCCATAATCGGATTTGCAGTGATCCCTTTTTTGCTCTCAAGATATTGAGTATCCAATTATGAGATGTATATTTCATTTTGTTTTCTCTTCGTACTGCCGTCTAATATATCATTTCATACGTATGCATGTATATTTATACACGTAATTGCTTTTGCTTTTTTTTTTTTTTTTTTTTTTTTTTTTTTTTTTTTACAATAGTCTAATCTGTATTTTTCGAAATCTTCAATATCAAGTTGCTTGATGCATTTTTCATTTTATTTTCGGAATATAGTAAATGTATAGGCCTACTCATATTTTCAGTAATTTTTTTATTTCCAGTAAGAATAAATATCGTTATTTTTTCCATAAGAAAGGGATTGCTGTCCCCCCCCCCCCCCTCCCGAAAAAAATGATAAAGATCAATGTTTTGCACTAGGCAACCGAACAGTAAGTTTTTTTTTAAAGAATATTCCGTATGTTTTCAATAAAAATGTTGCCATTGAATTCAGATTCCGTAACATGGTGAACTCCGTTGCTGATTATCTTTTCTTGGCCAAAGTTACGTCAGGAGGGACAAATTACCGACCCTTTCCCCACCGTCCGATACTCGTAATAACTCTTTCTATAAAAGCACTCTACACGTAATATTGGCGTACCGCTTAGATTTATGATACTTGTCATGTTTGTCATTTACCTCGCGGGTACGAACATATATTTGGCCATTCCTGCCATTAACGCCTGCTTACACATATGATTAGACATTTCTGCATCTAACGCCTGGTAATTACGCATGCTAAGAAATTCAAAGAATTGAAATAGGAAATTTCGATACTATTTTGCTGTGAAAAGGCCATGTACATGCTATGACGAGACTAAGCGCAAGTGATGTGAGCACGCGAGGCGTAATTATCAGGCGTTAATAGGGACTTTTAGATTTGCACGTCGACATAGTGGAATGCTACGTAAGACGTCATCTCACGTCGTCTCCGTCGTAGACTATCAGACTAAAGAATGCGTCCACCTTGATTTTCCCGTCGTCGTAAATCTAGAATGCCATGCACCTATGTTCACATGTGACGTCATCTCAAGCCTTAAGATGATTGACATAAAAGTTAGAGATATAATTTTTGTCTTTGAGCAACAACAGTTTTCACGAAACTGAAGTAAGTTATTCTCATTAAAGGTACTTTGTCTTGAACTGTGAAAGTTCGATTAGTATAATATAGTATTAATGACTGCTTTGAGAAAAATAGTTGTTTTTATACGCTCAAGGGAAGGTTACAATTGAGCTATTGCCCTCGGCACGCCTCGGGCAATATCACAATTGTAACATTCCCTTGAGCGTATAAAAACAACTATTTCTTGAATATTAAGGCAGTCATTAATACTTTTATATGCCGAAAAAAAAAGAGTCAACTTATGACACCACCTTGGCCTTTATCTAGTTTATCTGCACGGTTTTTTTTTTTATGAGTGTATCTTTGAGAATAGACTAAAAAATAAAAAATAAAAAAACTTTTGTCGGAGATGGGATTCGATCTCTTGCGTACAAATGGTGATGTACCTAAAACCACCGCCTTAGACCGCTCGGCCATCACGCACTGTTACCATCCCTAGCAGTTTTCTCTTATATATATACATTAAAATGGATTAAAAACGGCTACGCGTGCTGGATGCTTCGCGGCAGCTCCATTAAACGGGCCCTTCTTTTACTTTTGCAATGCATATTGGCACGAACATAGATCAACATCTATCGGCAGATGTTGTTTTTGGAAGTTTATTTTCGTCTTTATGTCAACAATGCAAGATACAATTGTCGGTAAGATCGATCGAGATTCAATTGTATTGAAATTACCGACCAATTCTTCGGTATCCTCGATCGCTCAGACCATTTTTTAACATGTAAACCTATGGGTATTTCACCAAGACTGAACTATTTCTCCGGTAACCATGGTTACTGGGATTTTAGAACTAATTTTTAGAACTATTACATGGGTTTGGAATTTTTACCGGGAATTTTACAGGAATAGTTATATGTGCAATTTCGACCAATCAGATGGCTGGATTTCTTAAGTGAGGTATATAATATGTTATAGCATCCGTATTAAGGTTTATAGCTAGTGGCAGTGTGCATGAGCTTCGCCTTCGCACCGCCCAGTCAGCCGGTGATTTTTGTTTGCATTCGGGTACGCGCGGAATCTCCTTTGAAATTTGTCGCGCCGTCGCTTTTGTCAAATTTCCTGTCGACGTATATAGCGTCGAGTGAAATCTAAAAGATTTCTATTCGTAGTCAACAGGGGCAGTTGACACGCATGATCAGTGGACGTTCACGCTGTTCTCGTCCACTCAATCTAAAAGTCCCTAACCATACGCACAGGTCACAACCTATGGGCACAACTGTCATGGGTGCCGACCGGATTGGTTTCGCCGCGCGTGCTTCAACACGTGCCCTCCTGAAGTTAAATTATTGAGTGGTTCTGTGTTATTTGAGCTCCAATCCTTCACGTTGCCTTTTAATTTTTTGTCATCAAATT